GACGGCATGACCCCTGCGATGCTCCACAAGACCGTGAAGAGCAACAACAGCAGCAGCAGCAGCAAGAAGACGTTGCTGGGGCAGCCGGTCCTCTGCCGGGAGCTGTTGCAGGCGCGCCTTCCGGAGCAGAAGCGGCAGCTTCAGCGCCGTCAACACCTTCCCTCCCAGCAGGTTATTCTAGCGCTGTCCATTTGGGTCTGCTCGACGTTTACGAGAAAACCACGTACATGAATTCGTGGTTGTCTGGCGCAGATGCCGCAGCATCTAGCGTTGGAGTTGGAGGGACTGAGTTTGACGATCTTCTGCGTGACGGCGTCAAAATCGTAGGGGAGCTGCAAGCAGTCACTTTCGCTGGTCATGTTGGGGAAGAAGACCGTCGAGACTTCCTTAAAACGCTAGATCAGTGTAGGAGTATGACAACGCGTCTCGCTAAACAAAGGGAAAGTAGTTGCATTGATGTTTGCGAAGTGAAGGCAAGCTCCCTTAGATCTAGATTCGTCGGTTCCTCCAGGCATCTAGAAAAGACGCGCCGTGGACATCTTCTCCAGCCAAGCGACCCTGAAGTTCAAACAATGGTAGGTTTGAGAGAGGCTGTAAAATCAGCGCAAAAGGTATACAATGATACGAAAAGCATGTTTCCTGATTTCCTTAGACTGAGTGGTGTTCAAAACTCTTTAAAAACTCTTTCAGCAGCTATCCAGGAAGTGGAAGATTCCCTGATGTTGGCGGCTAATGCCTGCGCGGAGAGCTGGGCACGCCATCTCAAGGCTCTGCAGCCAACAGCTCAGACAGAGGGACCAGATGGAGAACGGGCCAGGCAAAAGCTGATTGAGGGGATGGACACCGCAAAGCAAATGCAAACCAAGCTCCGCTACATTTCCGGGAAAGAGCCGTCACTGTAAAAACACTGAGGGACCCCGGAGAGAGTCTTTGGCATCGTGCACCCATAAGTGAACCTCCACAAGAGGGCCCGCCATGTTTTGCGAGGGCCCCTTTTCTTTATGCGGGCGTTGTCGGTGCTTGAGGTTCTTTTGAGTTATGTGCACTTTGGAGATAGGCGCGCTCCACTTCCATGCTTCGCCACATGTTTCTGCTTTTTGAAGTGTACGCGGATTATATTTTCCTTTTTGGCCGCATGTGTATGTGCAATAGATGAAAATTCATCTCGGCGCCTCAATGCTCAATATTGTTGTTTCGCAGTGTAGGGCCAATGATGCCCTGCGCGTCATTTTATTTTGAGCGGAAGATGTGTTGGGTACCCTCCTAGTTGTGTTGCCCACTTTCCCGTTGTTTCTGCCGCCTCCTTAGTACAGTGTATGCGGCCTTTTATTGTGAAGACGGCATTTGTATATTTATTCTCCAGGTGTTTCGTTTTTGCCTACATGCGGTCGTCCAATTTCCTAGTGCGGCGAGCATAACCAAATTTTTCCACAAGGAGTAAGGCCTACCCAGAGCCTCTTTCGTCAATGCCCTCTTCCAGTTACTCATGCGTAGTTCACAGCAGCTAACATGGCATTAAGGCGACTCAGGAGAAGAGAAGCAGACCTGTAGATGGCCCGTTGAATTTTATTCTCACTTGGAGCTTGCTTGAAACGGTGCTTGAAGGCAACACAGCCGCGCTGTGTTGCTAACCAACGATACTGAGAAACGCCCAGAAACGCTACGAAGTAGGGAAGCGCCCCCCAAATAGGGGGAATGTNAACCAACGATACTGAGAAACGCCCAGAAACGCTACGAAGTAGGGAAGCGCCCCCCAAATAGGGGGAATGTTGGGCTCTCTATCCTGCAAAGAAAAAAGAGGGCGCGCCCGCATCCAGCCCAAGCTGAGGACGAGAACTGCCAAGGGGAGCAGGGGGATAATCCTATGTAAACTTAGTCAGGAACTGTGGAGATAAAATGAAAAAAGGTTGCTATATTAAGCATGAACGCGCGCGCTTGCGGGACGGGTCACTGTGCTTTGGACACGGACCACTGACCCATTGGTTCGGTGTACGGGTGAATTACAAGCTCTTGTATAAAATTATGGCTGGTAAAGACAGCAATGGACGGTTTAAAAAAGTAAAACTTGTTCGTCGAGTCTCCGAAGTTCATGTTGAACAAGTAACAAATGATAGCCGAGAAGCCAGTTCGTCAAGAGCCATTGGATGCAAAACAGGCGTCCAGAACTGCATCAAAAGCATGCTTTGTTGACATAACATTGAAATCAATTGTTCTTCCCGTATGCTTGATTACAACTACCGCAAACTACCCGCATGAAGCGTACATATAGGCCTACTGTAGCTCATTTGCATCTGCCCCGTACCGACTCCAATGTAGAAGCAAAGACAACGGCGACACTAGCATCCCCTCAGGACACCAGTAGAAAGCCGGAAGACGTGTGTGGTGGCACTACCGGCTGCACTACAAGAAACCCCTTGGAGATGAAGTTCATACGCAGACAGGAAACGAATACATTCCCAGATAAACCAAGAGACCAGAAGTAAAGACATTAAGTTCAGACAGCGCCGGNCAGGAAACGAATACATTCCCAGATAAACCAAGAGACCAGAAGTAAAGACATTAAGTTCAGACAGCGCCGGATAGTTGGCGAATTCTCCTGCTTGGAACGGTATCAACGGCAAACGGGACAGAAGTTGCCAAAGGCTTCCCTTTCAAAGAGTAGGACTCAGGCCGCAACAGATGTTGGAAGCCCTTGTGCGCCTTCCCTAGGTTTCTACCCGCACAAGCACGGGAGATTAGGTACCTGGACTGGGCGCAGTATCCACAACTACGGCAGTCCATGTCAGGAAAGCTCTTCCCAGCTTCTTAAGTGTTTCTGCGCTGCATTTCTTGTGCGCATTTCGACTTGATGTACCAAAAGCCTCCAACGTTAGCTGAGGACCGTCGTGTACACGATTAGTGTCAAAAATACTCAGGATACGAGTTCTGTAGATGCAAGTGACCTCCACTACAGTATGTAAGTATCCCCGGCACGTCGGCTATGACGGAAACCGAAGAACAAGCAAATGACTTGAGAACGCCAGAAAAAAGTATTAAAAACGGCAAAGAGTCCCTAAACTAAAGGGAAATCAAACTCCTTTCTAGCCCCCTTGCCTCGCGTTTCAAGGGGCTTCTCCAGATTCACATGCTGGCACTAGTTAGTGCTTCGGTAGCATTAAGCACATTAACCTTGGCAAGTTAGCTATATCCTACCCCCAGATTTTACTGATTTATTTGTTAAATAATCGAATTACGGCGGCTGGGACGGGGCCCTGCGGGCGATGGGGGGCCCCACAATGCCCTGTGGGACCCCCTGGGGCCTAGAGTCGATAATGTGCCTTTTCTCGCTGTGTGCGAGACGGAGAGCAGATAATTCATCGGAATTAAATTGCATGTTTACGTGTGTACAGCTGAAGTTGCACTGCTTGTTACCATCTAAGGTCCTGGTCTCCCGTGCAACTGGTAAAAGGGAGAGGCGTTCTCGGTGCCTAGCCAGACTTTCATCTTCTTCCCCATTTGTGAACTATTTATCTTCTGCATGCACTCGTTCGTGTTTTTACAAGGTTAACTTCATTGATCCTTCCTTGGTTCTGGCGCGTTCCCCCGCTGCTCTGCTAATCCGATGACTTGCACACAATGACAAACAGATGCACGAATAAACTAACCTGAACAGTCCCTTTATTTAATAAAATTGGGGCTGCGGGTCTCTATACAGGGGCAGGTCGAGTAAACCAGACAGAGCCAGAAATTCAGCGTTCGCAAAGCCTGGCAGGTTGCCTCTGATGTCGAATACCAGTTGTTCATAGATCTACAAGAGCTGTAGTTTTGAGTTTCGCTCCCTCACCAGCCCTTCAAACAAATGTCAGTGATACTAAGAATGGACAATGAAGATAGAGTAATGACACGATCCTTAAAAGACATGGCTACCTGGCCCGAGGGGAAGGTAGACGCTATCGATGAAGGGCGGCAAAACTCTGCAGTGTGAATTTAAGAAAACGGATCGTTGAAACTTCAAAATTCCTGCCACTTGAATAGGGACAAAAATCCCAGTTGTGTCACAGCTTGGCGCTGGTTTCGAAGCTAGACACTTAAGTGGCGAAAAAGCCTTCCAGGGGGAAGGTAAGAAGGCTGATGCATTGAAAACGCTAGCGAAAGCATGTACCATAATGCTAATAATAGGCACTGCGTACTCATTGACATCCCCAACCGCTATATTCCATTTATTCTCGGGCAGGGCTGATGATGAGCAGCGTTGGGCATCAAGCCCTAACGGACAAAAATATGTCAAAAAACAACTACAGGGACGTATGTGTCCCTCTAAAACTCCAGGAGGATATTTTGTTTGCAGCCTGCAATGAAAACTTGTGAAGAGATGGGCTGAAGGAATGGGCTTCAAAGTGCTTCCACCATCATTGTCGGCTCTCAACGCCAACCCAACCAAACCCCAGCCCTTGTAAGACGAAAGTTCCTCCTGGTACAGACGGTATTTGGAGTTATCAACTACATTAATTTACGATCAACTTGACATTCAAAACATTTTGGTTTCTCTACTGGCACTACCGGAAACGCCAATTGGCATACTGCATTACCGATTCAAATCACCTTTCAAAACTGTACATCGACAACTTGAATCGAGTAGCCCTGCGTCCCTGTTTTCCCCTGGCGATGCCCTGCTGTCTTCGCCAAGCAGCCACCTTGCAGCTCCATGCAGCGACTCCGACTGCTCGTCCACTCTTCTGCTGCCTCGAGAATATCTAAAGAGGTGTCTACGGCGAGCCCTTTTTCTTTCTACTTCTTTATTCGTCCCCCGGCGCGCTGCAAACCCATGCAAGGCAAACACAGCAGGATGAAGCGCATTTCGTGAGTTTGTCACATTCTCCTGCGGCGCCTAGACTGGCTCTAGTCTTAAAACTCTGTTTAATGCAAACATGTCGTAGCCAGGTAGAAAACTGCCAAGCACTAGTCGTAATTTTTCGGAGACATTGAAGTATCTGCTTCACAGCAGTGCGCGCAATGTAAACCTACCTTCTAACACCATGATAATTAAATAGAAGTCTCTCTATTTCTCCAACAAGCCTTTTGAATTCAGCAACCGCTTCTGGAGGAACATCCGGTCCAAATACCACATTTTTGTTTTTCTGACGGCAATAGAATGCCTGACGCAGCAGACCAGCAAGGGAACGACCTTGGGCGCCTACACTCATACGTAATTTCTGACCTGCCCGAATCAAAAAAACCACCTCCTGCATCTCGGAGCCCCTTTCCTCCACTTTGTCATTGCCCAGAGTAACAGGAGGGTCTGCTGGGGGCAGTGGCTCGCCGCGACGTGGAATGGGAGAGGGACCCTCCATAAACGGATCCGGTGTGCGGGGTCTGGGGAAACCATCGTCAATATCTGTGTCCCCCAGTTCGCTGTAAGGGATCGCAGTTTCCTCTTCTTCGTAGCCTTCTTCGAGCTCAACACCGCCAGCAGCTCCTTCGGCCTCATCCCCACTCTCACCAACACCACTAGCTAGTACCTTCTTGAGCCCTTTGCATCCATCCTCCACTTCGTTCTTACCTGCAGATTCGCTTCTGCCTGCTTCGCCAGATCCCTTTTGCGGGGATATATAACGGTGAACGCATCTCAGGAGAAGNATTCGCTTCTGCCTGCTTCGCCAGATCCCTTTTGCGGGGATATATAACGGTGAACGCATCTCAGGAGAAGAAACAATGTTGTAGACAAAGTTCCGAGGAGTGCAACCCCCAACGCGGGGCGAATTGGAGGAGCGTTTTTTCTAGGCGGTGTACGAAGGATCTGTTCTACGAGTTCATTTTCAATCGGATTGCCAGGAGTGTACAGGGAAGAAACTTCGTTCCCATGGGGAACGGCAGCCCTGGTCAGCTCTGGCAGTAAGACGATCAGATACCCTGCAACAGCGGCGACAGCCGCAGCAGGCAGCATCTTATGATCCTTCGGAACCTCTTCCAAACACGTTCGAAACAAAAAAAAGGAAGAGGGGATTGATGCCTAGAACAATATGTTCGTGCGCAATGACACCCACGATTGCACGCAAAAAAGAGACAGAGTGCGCCGACGCCGCAGAGGGCGTCGGTTGAGGCAGTGGGCAGCAATTGGCTGGGTACACAGAGTAAATTGAGAAAAGTTAGCGATCAACCATGAAAATTAATGCATGCATTACTTCTGGCGCGCAAATTAATACATGTTGTTCTTTCTATGATAGATTTCTGTCTCTCGACACTCGGAAGNTACTTCTGGCGCGCAAATTAATACATGTTGTTCTTTCTATGATAGATTTCTGTCTCTCGACACTCGGAAGAACGTCCAAATTCGGCCGGGTACACACAGCAAATCTCCCACAGTTTAATGGTCCATCATGAATATTACTGCACGCATTATTTTTTATGAGTAAATAAATGTAGTTCGTTCCTTCCAATGACGGACTTCTACCGCTCCCTTCACGGCTCCACCTCCACGAACGATCTCTTAGCAGTGAAACATGATTCGATCTTTCGGTCGATCTTGCAGTGACATAGGTATCGTGATCTTTGAATTTGCAATTTTGAATTAGCAGAATGTGTCGATCTCTCCACTGTGCGGTGGAAAATAGCTTGTGGCTCACCGCCACTCGGCATTTCGTTCCAACAGACCGCTTCGACCCTCGTGCAGCCCAGCGTCAACCTTTTGTTATCCTGCATGTGCATACTTCTCAGTTAGCATCAATGCATTTATTCCTCCAAGACACCAGCTTTTGCCACACTCTTCCCCCAACTGTTAGCGGTGTCGAGAACGTAGTGAGTTGCAATAGAGTCAAAATATACGAGAAAAGGCCTTCCTCAACGCAGATGACCTCCGTTCCAGTCTCCAAGACACTTGAAGACCGCAACGGAGGTCGGCAGCTGCTGTAGTAGGTATGCCAGGTTCAGTTACGCAATTCTAGACCTGGAGAAACACCCTGCACGTATATTTCTACTTGTGTGCAAGCTACCTCATGCACCTGTTGACCACGTAGGTGTTTTACAGTCGTCTACAATGCTAGGGGATGCAATGAAGTGGGCCTGGTTTTGTTTGGATCTGGAACTGGGGCGACAGCAAAACTTGCTGCAAGCTGTGCTGCAACTCATGACAGGCCTCCCCCTCTCCTGATCAGCCTGTGGGCCACCTTACCCAGGACCCCTGAAACCTGGAGGGGAGATCAGTTGCATGTTACAAGAGGGGAGATCAGTTGCATGTTACAACTCTCGTTTTAAGTCGTTCGACTCCATTTGTGCTCACTACAGTCCTCGTCTTTGTAGGCATTCCTGTGGAAGGCCGGTAGGTTTCCACGAGCACGATAATCCTCCATCAAAGACTGTACAGAAATACCATTGAGCCTTCGTCCACCTCTCCTTGATTAGCAAATGTAGTCCGTGGGACTAACTTAAGCCTAGACTGGGAGATGTGCTTCTAGCGTCCCAATACATTGCTGCATATGCAGGGCCCAACAATCACGTAGGCGTCTTCTACGACAGAGCGAGAGTAAAACAGCAATCATTTGTGAACTCTAAAACCAAACAAGTAAAACACTAAAACCTTATCCACATCCTAGTACTTTTTGCAAAATATTTATCTTCTACATGTATGTAGGTGGGCGAGTACAATGTTAATTTCTTTGCTCATTCCTTGGTTCTGCGGCAACAATTCTCGCAAAAGAATGGTGACAAACCCACGAATCAGGAAAATTGCCTGCACAATCCCTTTATTTCATAACCTCGGCGATATGGGTCTTTATACTGGACGAGAGCGCGCGCTCTAGAGAGAGCCAGAAGTTCAGTGTGAGCGAAGCTTGGCTAGTTGGATTCGCTCTCAGACGCCAAGCATTTGTTAGATCTTCAGGCGCTGTAGGCTTCATGCCGCTACTTTGACGAGCTTCACTATCTCTTTAAAGTCAAGGTGAGTATCGTAAGTGTTGACTTGAGAGGGGGGACAAATTTAAAATTAGATGCATATGAAGACATGGTTACCTGACTCGAGGGAAAAGATAGACTATCTATGAAGAGCAGCATAATTCTGCAGTGTGAACATAAGAATACGCATCGTTGAAACTTCAAAATTCCTGCCACTTAAACAGGGAGAAAGGTTTCATTTGTGTTTCAGTTTGGCACAGGGTTCGCAGAGAGAGTTTTACGGGGCCAACACGCCCTCAAGGGGAAAGTTAAGAAAGCTGAAGCATGCAAGAAGCAAGCGAAAACACGTAGCCGCATGCTAATAAAAAGCACTGGCTACTGTTCACCCCCGTCCCGCTATTCCATATGAACAGCTCTGGTCTTCACGCCCTAACTTATGACAAAATGTCAGCGAAGCAACTACAGGAATATGCGTTTCCCTCTGGAACTCCAGGAAGAAACCTCCATCGCTGCATGATGTTGCTCCAACCGGGCTTTGCGGAAAGTATACAGGAGTCAAACAAGCGTCCCTGAAGCTGTTCGCGCCAGCACAGTCCGCTTACAATATCATTGCAGCCAAGCCCCACCAATTGTAAAGATAAGCTCCCTGCTGGCACAGACATTAATTGACTTGTCCACTCCATTTATTAAAAATCAACCCTACATTCAAAACATTTTGGCTTCTGTGTCGACATCACCGGAAACGCCAACTGGCGCACTGCATCGGCAATTCAAATTGTCCTTCAAAAATATATAACGACAATTTGAATCAAATAGGCGTGCGTCCCTGTGCTCGGCTTCATCTGGCCGTATGCTGCTATCATTGCCAACCGGCTGCTACAGCTTCCTGTAGATATTCCAGCGCTTCGCGCACTCTTCGTTGCTTTCGTTTTCTTTACTCTTCCCCAGGCGGGCTGCAAATCCGCACATGTCGAACACAGCAGAATGACGCGCCTTTCGTCAGTTTGTCACATTTTACTACTTGCGCCTAAACTCTCCCTAACCTTATAACCTTGCTTTATGCAAAGTTATGGATTAGCGATCTCGAAAACTGTCGAGTACTAATCGTAGTTTTTCGAAGGCCTTTAAGTACCTGCTTCACAGCAGTGCCTTTCTGCAAATATAAACCCACCTGCCAACTCCATAGTGATCATAGAGAAGCTTCTCCATTTTCTCCACAAGCTCTTTGAACTTGTCAACGAGTTCTTGAGGAACATCCTCTCCGAAATCTGAATTTTTGTTTTTCTGACGGCAATGGAATGCCTGACGCAGCAGGCCGGGAAGGGTTCGCCCTTTGGCGCCTTCGTTACTACCTGCTGCCGTACCCGCGGCAACCAACTCGGTCACCTCCTGCATTTCGCTGGCTCTGTCCTCCGCTTCTTTCTTCCCCAGGGTAACTGGGGCGTCTGCGGGGGGGAGTGGCTGGCCGCGATCTGGGATGGGATCAGGACCCTGCAAAAACGGATCTGGTGTGGGGGATCTGTGAAAACCATCGTCCATCTTGTCGACCCGCGATTCATCGTCAGAGAGGTCACCTTCTGCCTCCAAGCCTTCTTTGGCCTCACCACCGACAGCACCCGGTTGTTTATCTTCCGATGATTCACCTTCCTCTTCACGTTCCTCTTCGGCCTCAGACGGGCTGCAAATCCTCACAATACACACGCAGCAGGGTGATGCAGATCCCGTCAGTCACATTCACTGCTGCGCTTAAACTACCACTAAACATACAACCTTGTTCATTGTAAGCCTGTATTAGCGAGATAGAACACTGTCAAGCACTAATCGTAGGCATTCGAATACCTTTAAGAACCCGCTTCACAGCAGACAGTTTCTCTGTAAATCTAAACCCACCTGCCAACTCCATAATGCGCATAGAGAAGCTTCTCCATTTCAAGGACAAGCTTTCTGAACTTCTCAATACGTTTTTTGGGAGTACCCGGTTCAAACTTCGCCCTTTTGTTCTTCTGACGGCAATAGAATGCCTGACGCAGCAGGCTGGGGAGGGTGCGCCCTTTGGCGCCTGCGTTACTACGTGCCCTTTTTCCTGCGGCAATCCAGGAGAGCACCCCCTTCATCTCGTTGATTCTTTTCTCCGCTTCTTTCTTCCCCAGGGTAACTGGGGGGTCTGCGGGGGGGAGTGGCTCGCCGCGATCTGGGATGGGACAGGGACCTTCCATAAACGGATCTTGTTTGGGGGGCCTGTGAACACCATCGTCCGTCTTGCTGACTCGCGATTCATCGCCAGATGGGTCACCCTCTGCATCCAAGTCTTCTTCGGATTTATCGCCGGAGGTATCTAATCCCCCCTCACCCTCAGCATCACCACTAGACAGTAACTTCTCGAGCTTTTTGCATTCATCATCCTCTTCATCGTCATCTCCAAGATCGCCGCTGCCTGCTTCGTCAGATCCCTTTAGGAAGAAGGTTGAACGTTGAACACAACTCATAAGCAGAAACAACGCTGTAGACAACGATCCGAGAATCGCAACCGCCAATATGGGGCGGATAAGAGGAGAGGTTGTTCTAGGCGGTGTAGGCGGGATCTGTTTTCGCGNGCAACCGCCAATATGGGGCGGATAAGAGGAGAGGTTGTTCTAGGCGGTGTAGGCGGGATCTGTTTTCGCGGTTCATTTTCAACTGGATGGTTGAGAGAATGAAGGGAGGAAACTTCGTTCCCATGGGGAACAGCAGCGCTGGTCAGTTCTGGCAATAAGACGGTCAGATATCCTGCAGCAGCAGCAAAAGCAACTGCCCGCAGCATCTTATGATCCTTCGGAACCTCTTCCAAACGCGTTCAAAACAAAAAAATGAAGAGGAGATCGATGCTGAGAACAAGCCACTTCTAAGAAATGTGCTTTAGGACTGTACACAGACAAGAGACAGAGTGCGCCGACGCCGCAGAGGGCATCGGTTGAGGCGATGGGCAGATAAACAAAAGAGGCAACGTGTTCGTATATTTGTTGGGTACATAAGGTAAATTAAGCATATTTTAATGCTCTAAAAATGAATATTAATGCATACATTCCCTTTGGGGGGACCAATTCGCGCATGTTTCTCAACAGGCTGGCTTCTATACGCCGCTTCCGTTGGAATNTCCCTTTGGGGGGACCAATTCGCGCATGTTTCTCAACAGGCTGGCTTCTATACGCCGCTTCCGTTGGAATTGCGTTTCTGTAAGTGGGTACATATATTCTTAGTTGTCTGCAGGCTGGCTAGGCAACTCGAGGAACATGCTCAACAAATGTTTATCGTGGCAGTGCATTTTCTATAACGACAGAGGCTGCAATTGTATTCAAGGACTGTCGCATGCGGCAACGAAACCAACAATGAATCACAATGGTAGGAGCTCCTCTAAAGCTGCTTACTCCTCTCCCTAGCCTCCAGGCACTGTGGAAGCAGCAGCCCAGGACCTGGGGATGCGGGGGAGGGGGCACTCTGTCATGGGTTGCAGCGCACCTCGATGCAACTAGATATGTGAGCCAGCCTCACAAGAGAGCACGACGAAGATGCCTGTGTTGCATACCTTGTCTCTGTAGATACTTATTGAGCATTTGTATTTTCTTTTAGGAAGTGTATCAAGGCCAAACGAATGTTCCTAAATTCCGGTAGGCAATGTCCCACATGCAGCAAAAGGGGAATGGTTGCGCTTGCATGGAGGGTTGCCTTGCAGAACGAGTTGAAGCAAAGAGCGTTGTGTGTAAGGAGAGTCCTCGTTCTTATCCGAGGGCAGTTACTAACGGCAGTAGAGTCGAAATACTTAAGAGTTTCCAAGAAGCAGCTGGCGTCCTCTCGATTCACCAGGCTGCATGGGATCGGCTGTGTGACGAGTGTTCGCGCTCTTACCTGAGGACAGCTGTGAGGTGCAATAGAGCAGAAACTCTTCGGAGAAGAGTTGTAAACAGCAGTTTGCAGTTTGCGTACTCTCCAGTTATCAGACAGCCCGGGGCTGGCGGCCCAAGGGCCTGGTTCCAGGGGAGAGCAGATGGCCTGAGACGAAACCGTGCTGCAGCATAATCTTATATCAATGCACAACCAAGCGCTTTTGCTCCACGGATTAACAATATAGTCAACTGCTTAGTATTTACTTGCCACCCAGTGACTGCATGCACGCAAGTAGCAATAAGTACACGGGAGAACTTCGTACAGACAATGTCACACACATGAGCTGCTACGCAGATTGCTGCAACTAGCGGTGAAGGGAAAACCCAGGTGCACGCGCAACCAGGCTACCCTACTGCATCACCCAGCCCTTTAGAGAATTAATACAAGTTTACTCTGTCCTATATGGCCATCCTGCATGCAATTAGTAAAGAGTAGTAGTGATGCAAGCAGCAGTATCACATAGACCCTGCTACAGACAGGATTCTGTCCGAGCTGAAAGATCTTCTTTCGATCGTGCTTTCCTGAGGATTTAATTGCTGCTGCTAGCACCTGTTTTCAGTGAAACTAAAGTTAGCGTAGACTGCGAGTTGTGCTCAGCCGGCAATCCAACGTGTTATCGCATCTGAGGGGACCCGACACCGGCGTAGGGGTTGAATAGAACAAAGTGAGAATAACACACACACAGCAAGCATCTGTGGATATGCTTCAGAAGTAAAGGGAAATGACATTCTCTGCTAACCCTCGGTCTCGCCCAGCTCCGGGCTTCTCCGAGACACCCACACAAGCCCTAGTTAGAGTATTGGTTATATTACTTACATTAAATTTCGTGATTAAGCTTTTCCACCATGACCACATCGATTATTTTGTAGAATAATCTTTGTACAGGACCCCGGACAAGGCCCTTGGGGGCCCCGGGGCCCCCACGAAACCCTGTCCGATGGGGCCCCCTGGGGCCTCGCGTAGATTCTGTGCTATTGGTACTTGCGAGGAGAAGAGCAGATAATTCATAAGATTTAAATTGCATGTTTATGTGTATAAACGTGAAGTTTCATTGCTTATTACCATCTAAAGTCCTTGTTTCTTGGGCAACTCGGAAAGAGAGGGGCGTTCTCTGCGCGTTGTACTGGGTGGGTGTAGCTAGCCTTCTACCTTCGTTCTTATTTTCTTTACATTTTTTGTAAACTGTTTATCTTCTACACGAAATATATCATGTTGATTCAAGGTTGACTACATTGGCTCTTCCTCGGTTGCGGGCCGTTCTTCCCCTGCTGTATACTGGTACGATGCCCAGCACACAATGACGAATAAATTAACTTCAATATTCCCTTTATTGCTTTTATTTAGCGTTGTTGCACTCCACAATGGGGGCTCCTCTCACTCCTCCTCTCCCCCCAGTATACCGCAGGGCAAACTTAAAGGATTTCTAGTCTCATCTGGATCTTACGTATGAGCGTGCGTGTATGCATGCATAGACGCCTGTATATATATTATATATATATATATATATATATGTACACCAACTCATATATATAGTTATATGCATATGTTGGGTGTGTACGTGCATGCTAATATAAACATGCCTATCTACACGTGAAGAATAATAAAATAGAGATATATATTACCTATTTATAGACATACACCCATACTAACCTATATATATATATATATATATATATATATATATATGCATGAATAAACCCACACTAATGTATACACCATGTACAAAGTGCCTTCCTCATCGCCTTCCGCCGGAGGGCCCCTCAACTATATTTCTGGGCCTTTGCTGCATGCAAGGAGATATTTGAACCATGAGGCTTTCTTGTCAGCAGCAGCAGCAGCAGCATCTGCTGCTTCTCCTCCTTCTGCATCTTTAGGTATGGTCCTTCCATCCTATTCTGCGGTGTCTGTACACCTGCGGCCTGGAGGGGCTGCACCACTACACTCTGCGTACCTCTGCACCAAAACAGATAATGTTGTTTTAGGTTCCTTTGCGCTTCATCGGCAACAAAAAGGAAACGTCTCCCAGGGAATATCCATCAGACATATATGGCAGCAAGCAGCAGCAGCAGCTGCTATTGCGGCTGCTGCAGAACGCGATCAAAGGCTACAGCAGCAGCAGCAACAGCCACAGAAACAGCAGCAGGGGGCTGGTAAGAGGAAGGGAGGGAAGGCACGCATGTCTTCTGCAGGTCGAGCAGCAACAACAACAGCAGCAGCAGCAACAGCAACAGCAGCAGCAAACGTTGCTGCTGATCCCCGAGCGCTTGATGGTGTATATTCTTCTTCGTTTTATCTTTCTTTCGTTGCTGCTGCTGCTGCCCACGCGGCCACCCCTGTAGCAACAGCAGCAACTGATGCGGGTTCAGCACCCCCAGGCCGCACAAGGCTGAGGGGAGCAAATCAGAAGCGGCAGGCAGCAATAGAGCGGCTGCTGCGGCTGAGGCCGCAGATGCTTCCCTCTGTAGCTCGTGTTGCTGCTGCTGCTGCGCGCATGCAGCCCCGTGGCTGCATCGACGCAGCAGCAGCAGCACCAGCAGGTGCACAGACACTGTGGCGAGAAGAGCTAGCGACTGTTCTTCGCAACTCTTCTGCTGCTGCTGCTGCTACTGCTGATAGGGCCTTCTGGAATGCATTTGCTGTTGCTGCTGCGGATGCTGCTGAAGCATTCACCCCCGCAGAGCTCTGCAGCATTGCTGCAGCAACAGCAGCAGCAGCAGCAGCAGGAGCACCAGGATGGAAAGGGCCTAATGAACGCCATCAACAGATGCTCCTAGCGCTACAAGAACAAATAAGACGGGTAGGGATTAGGGTTTAGGGTTTAGGGTTTAGGGTTCAGGGTTTAAGATTTGAGGCTATTCATGTTATATTATTAATATAGCATAAATAACCCTAAACCCTAAACACTATTTTTTATTAGGGTTTACGAATTAGGGTTTATGGTTTGTGCTGCAGCATGCCCATAGCTACACTCTCCCCCAGCTGTTGATATCGTTGGAGGCGCTGCAGTCGCTGCAGCGGATACCTTCTGCTGCG